GAGCAAAAATCCTCGACGTAGCCATTTTTTAAATAGTGGACATAATTATAAATTCCAGAAACCGTTTGATAGAGAAAATCTTCTAGTTTATGATGGCGTATTAGCTTTCCAAATTTGACGAGAAATAAAGCAAGTTATGGCTTCGGAAAGTGTAAAAACTCGCACTCATCACGAATTTTCCTCGTTAATTTTGCAAAAATCCTCAACGTGGCCATTTTTAATACTGGACGTATGAAGCTGCTTTAGCAACCGTTTGATAGAGAAAATCTTCTAGTTTTGTATGACGTATTAACTTTTCGGATTGATGAAAATGAACGGAGTTATGGCTTTGGAAAGTGTAAAAACTCGCACTCATCACGAATTTTCCTCGTTAATTTTGCAAAAATCCTCAACGTGGCCATTTTTTGAATACTGGACGTATGAAGCTGCTTTAGCAACCGTTTGATAGAGAAAATCTTCTAGTTTTGTATGACGTATTAACTTTTCGATTTGACGAAAATGAAGCAAGTTATGGCTTTGGAAAGTGTAAAAACTCGCACTCATCACGAATTTTCCTCGTTAATTTTGCAAAAATCCTCAACGTGGCCATTTTTTGAATACTGGACGTATGAAGCTGCTTTAGCAACCGTTTGATAGAGAAAATCTTCTAGTTTTGTATGACGTATTAACTTTTCGAATTTGACGAAAATGAAGCAAGTTATTGCTTCGGAAAGTGTAAAAACTCGTGCTCATCATGAATTTTCCTCGTTAATTGATCTAAATTTGTTATTTCTTATAATTTTTGTAATTTCAACACTGTGAGGATCGACACTTTCAAACCATTGAGCGTCCGTAGTCGTTGCCTCCTGTATCAAAAGCAAGGATACGAAACTGCCTGTTCTGCACCGAATTCCATCATTCATTACCTTATATATTTTTCATGTTTCCCCATAGCATTTCGATTGGATTAAGATCGGGTGACTCCGGAGGCCACTGCACTGCCTCGATATTCCATTCCTTCTGCTTTGCGGTCGTGTATCGGCTCTTGTGCGGTGGTGCGTTGTCCTGTCATCCTAATCTCACTGAATTTCCTGCGTTGTCCTGTCATCCTAATGTCACTAATTCACAAAATCCTGGAACTTGCGCACTACTATCATGGATAAAAACGGGAGATATAGAAAACAAGAGGTATGTCACCATTGTCAATTTGCTGCTTGAATGGCATGTAACATTTTCTCAGTATTTCGCAGTACACTCTACTATCGATTCTTCTGTCTTCCGGAAATATGGCAAGCGGTGTTGTCCTCGGGAAGATATTCCGCCCCAGATGTGAACTTTTGCTGGGTGCTTTGCGCGATTGCGGAAGCTGGAGAACTGGTCTCCAGGTTTCACATAACAGAATCTCGTCGAACAGTCAACTGGAATTTGAAGAGCACATATGAGCACATTGCACATGCCCACGACGGAATGGAAAGCAGGAATCGATATGTTCCTACTTTGCACAGTGCATTCATCGGTGAAGACGTAACTCGAAAACGTAGCTCCCTTCCTAATCATTTCCCTGCAGAAGTCCAACCGAGTAAGTTTGTTCCGATCCTTTATGGTATGGCAGTATTTCGTAGTTGTTCTCTCTAAACCAAGTTAGTTGCGTAGCTTCCTTATGTCGCACCACTAACAAATATTCCTCGTGTTCTCAGACGTTTGACGACGTCAAATGAAGTGGACGAACTACTATTCTGGTAACAGCGCTGGATCTCCGAGACTATCTCATCATAATGATCTGGAACAAAACAAGTAACATCTCAATGGATTTCCAAAATACATATTAGCTTGAGCAAGAATTGTCCGCCGTTTCTTCAGGCTCATGGTTCTTTCATTTTGCCAGCATTTAGGAGATTATGATGTAGACATAATGATTGAACCTCAATATATTGCACATTTTGGTGTATGAAACTTGCCTATTTGCTTCACTCTGAAGCTTACACCCGAGCTGAAAAAGATTTCCATTGCTGCATGAGTGCTACTTGAGCTCAACCGATATTTCTTCATTCGCTCGAGGAAACAACGAAGCCTGGAAAGGCACGACTGCATGGAGTGCTGTTCGGGAGCGTTGGTATTACGCATTTCTTGTTGTTCGCGTTTGGTTCTATAAGTGGAATGGACGGCGGATAATTTTGCTCAAGCTTATAGATGGTATCAAACAAACCACGAAGGGAGTGACGTGTCACGGTTTTTGGAGAAGGGCTGTTACTCTCAAAAATTTTCAGAGACCAAACTGCTACATGATTCCCAGAAGTATCAACCTACAAAATTCTAACATTATTAAGCGATACACAACAGATCTTCTAAAATACTTAACTTCTGAATACCTCTGGCTATGGAGCGTATAGACGTGCTGTCGCACGTAAACAATGGCGCCTAGATTGCTGTAAATCTTGTGGTTCATCAAACTTCTTTTTAGAACGAAAGACTACCGAAAATTCGCAAGATACTATCTGAAAGGGAAAACTCTGCGACTCAAGCTGCTACGGCATGCATCAACAACGTTTATTTGAAGCATCTCCATCTCTTTCAATTATGATTAGATTTCAGTTGACTCCATTCCAAACTGTCAATTCATTCACCTTCAGTCAAACAAGTCAAAATAATTTGAGTGCACGTCTCCGTAAGTAAGAAGCGCCTGATGTGTGCTATAGCCTGCATCTCTTGATCGCCTTTTCGGCCAAGAGTCTCACTTTGCATCAATGTTGCTCAACTTTCTTCCAAAGATCAGCTTGAGGATGCTCAGGCACATTATAGTATTTGAATAGGCACCGAAACAAAGGATAACTACCTTTAGCAAGATTGCTCACTGCTAAGAAGATACCTGCTGTATGAAAAGTATTTGATCGCTAGATCTAACGCGATGATCCACTAGCAATTCCAATTCACTTGGGTCGTCTCGATATACCAGGCTTCCAGAGCGATTGCGAAGGCACTGTGACCAGGTCCTTTTAATTGTCGCAGCTCAGAAACTCTCCTCGCGCCGACGTAGTTGTGATCATTATTTGCTGAGAAGAGAGTAGTTAATCGAATAGACAGGAATACCACTTGATTACAGCTTCACATTATTAGGTATACACTCAGCTGTCCTTGCTGGGTTGCGTTACATGAGTTTTGTTCTGTCCTGTCGTCCTGTCTTTGTGATACTGACGAACCATTGATGACCTCAATTAAATTCACTGAAGGGAGATGATCAGTTGCAGCAATTACCAGAGTAGTTTATTATAACGACGTACATTTGCACCACATATTCCTTCAAAGACGATATACTTTTCGCAATTTCAATCAACTCGTCAACGACTCCCTTTCCCATCGCGTTCTCTGCTCAGTGTCACCTTCGCAAGAGCTGGCAGCGGAGACATCGAAAGAGGACATTTCAAAAAATTCTCTTGTAATTCTCCATCCACGGTGACCAACGGAGCCTTTATCTCACATAGTTCTTTGTGGCCTGTGTACAACACCTAAAACAAAGGTTAATGATACTGCCTAAAACAGTGGACTACATGAATACCTTTGCCTTGTAATTTCTCCTCTCCCATCTAACCTTGGACACATTTCCCACTCGAGATTCACCTATGACCGAAGAAAGGAAACGACAGCGGTGGTTCGAGTTTGCATAAAGAAGACGAGGCAGAAAGACAATGCATTGCGAAAGAAGGTGCTCGAAATACCCCCTCGGCAGCGATACAGGCTTCAAGTCTCTTCTCAACTGACATCACCGTGGGCCGCAAGAAGCCAACGTCGAACGTGACGGGAGATCTTCACACTGGAAGTGGCGCACAATTCTCAAAAGGACAGGCAATTGTTGGATCCGGCTAGCAGACATTCCTGCTCGACGTCGTGCACACAAGGAGCCGATTTCCAAAATCTGTCATGGTTTAGGCAGGAATTACTTCCGAGCCAAGACACGGCACGACCTTTGTGGATAAATCCGCCAAAATCAACGGCAATATCTACCATAAACAATAATGAAACAATATCACGTGATCTGCTTCCTTCCGTAGACAGTTTCGAACGAACGAAACATCAACAACAACTTCAGCGAACGTGTCTGCACTATTCAGCAAGACTGAGCCCCTGCACATGTCGCAAAATTTACGCTGGAGTTCGGTGAACATCATTTTCCAGGTTACTGTACACAAGTGGCCATCTAGCGCGCCCGACGTCAGCTAAGACGAGGCTCAAACCCTGTATCGCTACCGAAGGAGGTCCATTCGCGCATCTCCTCCAGTAATGTATTGCTATGTTCTATTGTATATAAAAAAACTTCTGAGGATGTGACAGCTTCTGCTTTCTAAATATAGTCAATAAACCACGCTCCACTATTCAGTAGCCACCCTGTAGAATTTTGCCGTCCATATATTTCGCCTTATGGAGAGTAATTTTTCATCTTGCTCATTGTTAGTATAAAAAAGTCAAAGAATAAGGCAGAACAGGAAATTCAGTGAAGCTTTACCCATTGCGGACCGCCGTTATATGTACACCTTTGGTATTGTCGCATATTTTGCCACTATCCAATAATTCGAGGATTGTTTTATCTGTATTCAAACATGCGACAATTTCTGTGCTCGGAAAAGCTTATTGCTGAATTTGTTATATGGGAAAATATCAACCGAATCGAAGATGATCCACTTTCGTGTGATGTGCAGCACGCGGTCCGCAAAGGGTTAAAAACATTTGCCGCGATGAAAATGCGGCATCTCAACATAGAGGTCCAATTAGATGTGATCAGGGATCGAGGGATAAAGAGAAGACCATGAGAAACGGCCCAGAGCTCGAAAAATGGGACCCCTTTTGCCGTATATTTCCGCAGCGATGCGACTCTCATTGAAGCTGTACTCGCTCTCTCTGCCAAGTGACAATAGATCAGTAGGCGTATCTCGCCAACAGCGCCGCGGGAGGGCCATGTTATATCGCTAAGGCATATTCTTTGCTGTGATTATGCGTCGGTCCGCACCCAGGGGATTCGCTTCCCTTTCGACTTTGTAAATTTCCCCTCTTCGACCCTCGCTTTTATCGTGGAATGTTTTTCCTGAAACTTCCAATGGCCACCACTCTCTAGCTGTCGGTGACAGCCCTTCTGAAGATGGGAATGAGGATGAAAGTAACACCCGACGGCACACTCGGCGACGGCAATGAGACGGAGTGATCGCGATCGCTCCTCTATTGTCTGTCGCCGAGGGACGTCGGTCATATAAAACCACAGGGAGGAGTCGCACCTGGTAATCTTCTGGATGCAATGTCTCGAGAGATTTCCAACATTTGTCGCACGGACGATTGGATCCCGGCTAGATCAACTCGCTATATCCCTTGAGCCGGACATTCCGGCATATTATTTTCCGATTTCGGGTAAGAAAAAAGCCTGCCCAATTTCAAAAATCGATGATGTTGGGCAAGAAAGGATCAGGAAGTGGAGGAATAGGAGAGACCGATAAGTAGTACAGTAACAGTAGTGCCAAGTGGCTAACACGTCACAAAATGGCGACACGAGTCGAGCAAAATTCTGGTTTCATACCAAAACCTGAAGAAAACGAGACAGTCGTGAACACAAGTAGAAGCCGCTTCTGCATTGCCACTCCGCTCACTCTGAAGGAGACTCAGCTTGTGGGTTCTTCTTTCCAGTAAGAGGGTTTAAGCTTATTATTCAATACCTCCCCGAGTCTTCTTACATTGGAGAATCGCTCTGTCCCCCTCTTCCCTCTCCATTCACCTACCTTCCTTACAGAAATTGGCTATTCAACTTAACAAAGCCACAAAAAGTAAGGTGAAAAATAGACTAGTCCTTTCCTTTGTAATTTTAGCCAGCTTAGGTTGCTGCTAAACATCTTGCTCGTCTCACAATAAAAATAATCCATTGTACCTCCGCACAAAGGGTAACAAAAAGCAGTGGAAATTACATGTGCAAGTCTTGGAATTCAAAAGAAAGCCACGTCAAGGATAAAAACGGATCCAGAATTGCAATCAAACTGTCTCAGGAGGCAAACACAAATATGCACGTACAAACAAACAAACTTCGATGCAAAGTGGCTCGGAGGGGGGAGGGCACCTGTAACTTCACGGGAACACTGAGCTTCGAAACTAAGTCCTAAAGAAGAAAAAGGGCTCTGATATCGTAAGCAATTCTCTTCGAAGGCCATCCTTCTTCATTAGGCATACGCATAGTCGGTCGCCCATCGCAACGATCGCATAGCATTAGATGCATATTGATATTGCATATGCATATTTATATTGCATATTTTCGTCCGACGTCCAACGCATAGGCCGCATGGGGGGGAGAGAAAAGTTCACCGGCGGCGCGGACGCGAGCGCGTGCTGGTGACGTCAAAATGACGTCACAGCTGCGGAGGGTTGAAGTAAGCGCAAGCAGCGGCCAGCGCCACTGTGATTTTGTTCAAATAGTGCCTTTGTTTCTTGCAGTACGCCAAGTTGTTCAATCAATTGTGCTTCCAGCGAAATCCTGTTTTATGTACAGGACGACTCTCGCACTAGGAATACGAATTTTTGAAAACTCGGAG